CTGCGGCACCTTGGGCAGCAGCAACACGGGTTGCAGCTGCAGCAGCGAACCGCCACAACAGCATCAGCTGCAGCAGCAGCAGGAGCAGCTGCTGCAGCAGCAGCAGCAGCAGCAGAAATCTCAAAGCTTTGATTTGCTTCTCTATCAACAAGACTTTCTACTACCGCCGCAGCAGCAGCCCCAGGAGCACTGCCTCTGCATGCACACAGTCATACAAAAAAACTAGCAGCAGCAACAGCAGCAGCAACAGCAGCAGCAGCAGCAGCAGCAGCAGCAGCAGAAGATGTACCGCAACCTCTATGATACAGACTGCATCACCTGGTCCCCCCAGGGCCGAGTGTTTCAGGTGGAGTATGCAAAGCAGGCGGTGACGCAGGGTACCTGCTGCGTCGGGCTTCGCTCGGATAGCTACGTGGTAAACCCTAAACCCTAAACCCTAAACCCTTGCTCGGCACAGCCGCACTCAAAACCCTAAACCCTAAACCCTTCTTCGACAGCGCTGCACCTCAAACCCTCACATATAACCTCTAGGGTTACCATCAAACCACCCCGAATGCGCAGCAAACGCCGAGCGCCTTTTTCTTCTCAGGGTTTAGGGTTTAGGGTTTAGGGTTTATGTTTTTTTTTTTTTTTAAGGTTTTATGCTCGCTGAAGAAAAGCCCCTCCAAGCTGGCGGGGTACCAGCAAAAACTTTTTTGTATCGACGACCACATTGGCGTTGCAATCTCGGGCATCACGGCGGATGCTAGTAAACCCTAAACCCTAAACCCTAAACCCTAAACCCTAGGCCCTTTTGAAACCTTATAGATAGGCCGAACAGCCTCGCCAAACCCTAGAGATAAACACGAAACCCTCAGCTAACCAGAGGGATAAACCCTAAACCCACCAACGCCAAACCCTAGAAATAAACCCTAAACCCTCAAGCTAAACCCTAGAACTAAGGTGCTAAACCCTCGTTAGAATAAAATTAAAGTCCCCAGCTCTGCCTATGGATGGATGTGCCGACATTCCTTCTGGCCGAAGTGAGTAGGGTTTAGGGTTTAGCGTTTAGGGTTTAGGGTTTGGGGTTTGTATTGCAGAGGTTCTGTGCGAGATCATGAGGAACGCCTGCCTCCAACACAAATTCACCTACGACACGGAGAAGCCCGCCGCCAGACTTGCTCTTCTTGTGGCTGACAGTGAGGGTTTAGGGTTTAGGGTTTAGGGTTTGGGGGGTTGGGGGGGTGAAGGTGGGGAGGTGATTTACTCGACTGGTTCTGGCGAAGCTCCCTGTATAAACCGTAAACCCTCGTCCGCTTGAACCCCTCTTAAACCCTAAACCCTAAACCCTAAACCCTCGTGTTTTATGTGGGTGCAGAGTGTCAGAACAACACACAGAGAAGCGGAAAGAGGCCGTATGGTGTGGGGCTGCTTATGGCTGCATGCGACGCCTCGGGTCCCCGCCTCTTTGAAAATTGTCCTTCTGGCAATTACTCGGAATACAACGTAAACCCTAAACCCTAAACCCTAGAATACACTGTAAACCCTCACCCGAAAACCCTCGGGAGCATACACAGGTGGCACGCAAAACCACTTGCTGACTCGCTCGCATCGTTTAGATATGAAGATTTAGGGTTTAGGGTTTAGGATTTAGGGTTTAGGGTTTAGGGTTTAGGGTTTGGTGTGATGCAGGCCATTGCCTTCGGTGCGCGATCGCAAGCCTCGAAGACATACCTTGAGAGGCACTTTCAGACTTTCCCCTCTGGTAAACCCTAAACCCTAAACCCTAAACCCTAGACCTGCGACTAAACCATAAACCCTAGACGTCAGTGAGGATACATAAACCCTAGCTGCTGGCCGATTGCCTCGTGGTGCACTCGGCACACAGCCCGGGGTGATGATAGGGCTTCAGCGCACCTTTACTTGCAAGCTAGGGTTTAGGGTTTAGGGTTTAGGGTTTGGGGTTGTGTGTACAGCAACGTTAGACGACCTTCTTCTGCACGCCGCAAAGGCTCTGAAGGCTTCCATGGCAGCTGACACCGAGTGGGTTAGGATTGAGGTTTCTTATTCGAATTTCTAGGGTTTAGGGTTTAGGGTTTAGGGTTTAGGGTTTTGCAAGAGCTTGTGTTGTAGGGCCCAAAGCTTGAGGCCGCAATCCAAGGCCGCATTTGTGGCTTGGGGTTTAGGGTTTAGGGTTTAGGGTTTAGGGTTTTGGTGTTTTGCTCTTCTCAGGCTGACGGCTGAATGTCTCTGTGTTGGCATTGTGGGTCGCGGCCAGCCGTGGCGCGGTGAGGGTTTAGGGTTTAGGGTTTAGGGTTTCGTCTTCAGCGGCTCGGTGCAGCAGGCAGCGTGTAAACTGCGATTTCTGCGGATAGAATAAACCCCATAAATAAGGGTTTAGGGTTTAGGGTTTAGGGTTTTGTGTTGAGGGTTTCTGTATGCAGAGCTGAACCACGAGGAACTGCAAACACTTGTGGACCGTCTTGCGGTGCGTCTTTTAGGGTTTAGGGTTTAGGGTTTAGGGTTTGAGTCATCGATATCTTAAGTTGCTGTGCTGCGCCCGTAGGAAGTGGCTTAAAGAAACAAGGGTTTAGGGTTTAGGGTTTAGGGTTTAAAGTGTAGGGTTTGCGGTGCATGTGCAGAGCTCTGAGGCTGGGGGTGAGAGCGCGGAGATGGTTGTGGACAACCCCGAGTAGAAGAGCTTCAAACCATGCGTCGAGGGTTTAGGGTTTAGGGTTTAGGGTTTGGGGTTTAGGGTTTGGGGTTTAAGATACAGTAACCCAACACCTTGGACCTTTTTCGGTGTGTCTCTAGACACAGACCGACTGAAACGCTGAAGGACTTGTTTTGAGTTCATCTGCCTAGGGTTTAGGGTTTAGGGTTTAGAACAGTGCCTATAGTCTCGGGGTTTAGGGTTTAGAGAAAAGGTCTATAGTCTAGGGTTTAGGGTTTAGAATAAGGTCTAGAGTCTAGGGTTTACGGTTTAGGGTTTACATTGAACCCAAGTGTCTAGGGTTTAGGGTTTAGGATAAGGTCTAGAGTATAGGGTTTAGGTTTGGTTTGGGATACGTTTTCTAGGGTTTAGGGTTTAGGGTTTAGGGTTTAAGCCTCAAAACAAGAGAAGGCCAGAGTAAAGCCTGTACGCTTTGGGCTCGTCGGTTGAGATTAGGGTTTAGGGTTTAGGGTTTGGGTTGGCGGTTTTCGGTTTCCTTCTGTATAAAAATAGTTTATTCACAGAATAACAATGGTAGTATTAGGGTTTAGGGTTTAGAGAATACTGTGTAGGGTTTAGGGTTTAGGGTTTAGGGTTTACGGTCCGCTCGGGGCTTACGGGTCCACCGTGGGGCCTTGGTGGTGGCGTTAGTTGTGCATATAGAGAGGAGCAAAAGGTTTAAATTGAGTGTATACTGCCGGTTTCTAGGGTTTAGGGTTTAGGGTTTAGGGTTTAGGGTTTGGAGAATGGGGAAGGCGTCAAAGGCCCGCAAGCGCAAGGGCCGTCGCCCCGACGGCCTCAAGGCAATGGATGAAGACAAACCCCAAAAAAACAGCAAAGGGGGGGTTGTAGCAACACAGGCGAGCAAGAAAACCTCTAGGGTTTAGGGTTTAGGGTTTGGGGTTTAGGGTTTAGGGTTTAGGGTTTAGGGGCCCCAGGGGCCCGCCAGGCACTGATGGGGGCCCTAATTGCGCTCAAAACCACGGTAAACGTGGTTTGTAGTCTAGGAATGGAGGTTTAGGGTTTAGGGTCTAGGGTTTAGGGTTTAGGGTTTGGGGGTTTCTGCAGGACGATGAGGACGGAGAAGGAGGCACCTCGAGCCACAGCGTGTTCAAGGTGAGTGGCTGAGCGGTCTTCTTGTTATCTTCCTAAACCCTAAACCCTAAACCCTAAACCCTAGATTTGTTCTATGTATGTTGATGAAGTTGTCTAGGGTTTAGGGTTTAGCTGCTGTTCTTAACACTGAACCCTGAGCCATATAGACCCCCCAAGTATTGTATGCCTCGCTAAACCCTAAACCCTAAACCCTAAACCCTAAACCCTCATGAGTGTGTTTTCAGCGCCATGCGGCTGAGAGGAAAGCGGTGAAGCAACAAATAGCAATACTGAAGCAGCGCAGAAAAAAACTGCGAAAGAAATTCCCAAAAGAGGCAGCAGAAAAAAGAGAAATAAATAAAAAAATTAAAACCCTTATAAAAGATATAACAGAAAAACAACAAAAAGAACTCAAAGAACTCGGAATTGCAAAAAAAACAGAAACAAATGATTTCGCTGAAGAAGAAGATGTAGACATGGACAACTAAATAATTACGCTGCAGCAGCAGCAGCAGCAGCAGCAGCAGCAGCAACAGCAGCAACAGCAGCAGCAGCAGCAGCAGCGGCAGCAGCAACAGCAGTATCAATGAATGACTCTTGCAGCAGCCAACGCTGCTGTTTATTTTCTATAGTTTTGTCTCTCATGGACTTTGTCTTCCCAATGTAAACCCTAAACCCTAAACCCTAAACCCTATTTTGTTCCTCTTTGTCTGGCTCCAAACGAGCCGATGATTTGTCGTTTAGGGTTTAGGGTTTAGGGTTTGCATCCCTTGGGTTTAGGGTTTAGGGATTTGAAACATCGAGCAGTATGTAACCCTAAACCCTAAAACCCTAAACCCTAAACCCTAAAACCCCAGCCTAGTGCTAATGGTTGCCAGTGGAACTCCTGAGGGTTTGTCTCTTCTTTAATATAAAGCGGTGTCTCCTCTTGCGTCTCTGTTGCTGCTGTCTCTGTTGCTGCTGTCTGTGTTGCTGCTGTCTCTGCTGCTGCACCTGCAGCTCAGCTACACACATTGCTGTGTTGGTTGCAGTGTACAGACAGCAACAGAATCTAGAGAGAAAGAGAGACAGAGAGAGAGACAGAGAAAGAGAGACAGAGACAGCAACAGAGGCAAAAGCAGTGTATTGAGAGGAGAGCAGCAGTGTGTTTATTTATAAATAGATAACAACAACCTTCTCTTGAAGGAGAAAGAAAAACAGTTTGTTTATAGAAAGAGACAACAGCAGTTTGTTGATAGATAGACAGACGAGAAAAGGGTAGTGATATATACAGAGACAGCAACAGTGTCTTGATATAGATAGAGAAACAACAACAGTGCTTTTATAGATAAAAAAAAAANAAAAAAAAAACATTGTGTTTATAGAGAGAGACAACAGCAATGTCTTTATAGAAAGAAAGAGAGAGAGAGAGACAACAACAGTGGGTTTATAGATAGAGAGACAGGAATAGGGTCGTGATAGAGAAACAACAATAGTAGCTTTATCTTAATAGAGAGAGATTACAACACTGTCGTCAGAGAGAGAGACAGAGAGAGACAGAGAGAGAGACGGAGAGAGAGACAGAGACAGAGAGAGAGAAAGAGACAGAGAGACGGAGAGAGACAGAGACAGAAAGAGACAGCAACAATCTATTGAGAGAAACAATAGCGACCCCTCTCCCCACCACCGCAGCACAAAGAAAGTCAAATTTTGCAGCTTTTTCATCAAAATCTATAAATTTGTATTATTTGTCGATGAAGCAAGAGCACCATGTGTGTGTTTGTATTTGTTTATTATCTGTTTTTATTTGTTTATAGCGTGTTTCTATTTGTTTTTAATAGGCTTATAGTATGTTTACGTTTGTTTAGGTTTTGTTGTATTTGTATATTTGGTGCAGCCATCCCCCCTTGAGGGGCTGAAACTTTTAAAAGATACAAAAGGAGATAAACTGCAGACAGAGGTTTTGCCTTTCCCAGTGACAGTGATTCACTCTGAAGCTGCCAAAACCCTAAACCCAAAACCCTAAACCCTAAACCCTAAAGCCAAGTGGTACGGGGAAGCTGAATGCCCCTCAGGAGTTTGAATGGGTATACTTCGGGCCTGGGCTTGATCAAATGCCTTTGTCTAGCCATCTTGTAACGAACATAGGGCTTAGGGTTTAGGGTTTAGGGTTTAGGGTTTAGGGTTTCGGGGGCGTTGAGGCTTCCTGTTTGTCGCTTGTTGCCACCCACCCCCCCAGCTCCCCCCCGAGCAGTGTTTCTGAAGCTGGTGTAGGCTAGTTTACCGATCAGCCTGACGGTTCTTTCTTTCTTGTTTTTGTTTGAATTTGTACTTTTGCATAGGGATTGTTTTCCTTGGAGATCTCTTTCAGCAGAGTGTGTGGAGGCAGTTCTGGTGGTTTGCAGTAATAAAAGTGCTGAAATAACCAAGCCAGTGAGCCCCAAGGCTCGTGTTGAAGCCGGTTCTTGCATGTTCTTCATTACACTCGGGAGATACTAGAGAAGAAGTACCAAAAGGAGGCACAGCAGAGATGCAACAGGCGGCGCGCCGGCCGGCTGCTGCATGTTAATGGGGCTTGACAGACAGACCATTGCCAGCTAAAGGTGTTTCGTTGAAATGCAGAACTTATGTGAAGACCGTTTCTTTTCCTTTTCTAGCGCTTTCTTTTATTGCAATATGTGTTTGGGTTTCGCATAGAGGCCTCGAAGCGCCGCCCTTGCCGGTGCACCTGGCGGCTGTGGTCTATCGAGCAGATCCCTCCAACTCTCCCTCTTCTCCTCTCTTATTAAAATTAAAATGCTGCTCTCTCGCTCTCACTACACCTGCAAAAGCCACGGACAACCCCACTGACTGTGTTTGCTGGTTCGTGGCTGAGGTCACCTAGGTGACCTTCCCTTGACGAGCGACTGTCTCTCTATGGAGCTTGTCGCTCTGCTGAAACTTCCTTCTCTTTATTTCGTGTTGCTGCGGGTACGAAAACAGTTCAGATACGCCTTATGACTGCTGCACACGCGTAGCAGTTGGCGCGAGCCGAAGGGTTGCAGCAGCAGTATCTGTTCGCAGCACACACCTGCTGCATGTATTTCAATATATTGGTTTCAATTAATTTCCACCAACAAAAAAGAAGCTGAGAAGCATTGCATGACTTCCAGCAAAAATGGCGTCACTCACGCCGCGACACAGGTGGATGGTGTCGCAAGTTGTTTCTTCTTTTGACTTAACGGAGTTCGAACCCCTTGTTGAAAGCAATTTTAGAGAGCAGTTTGCCTCGAAAGTCGATCCATTCCTAAAAGGAACTTCAGAAACACAGCATTTACTTTTTTCGTATCAAATCAAAAGCGGCTCCTCAGCCGCACAGTCAGATATTCCAGGAAAGCTAACCTGCTCAGGTGCGCAGGCGATGAGAAACGAACAAAGAACGCAACACATCTCTAACTTAGCCTTGAAAAGTTCGACGCAGAGCATCTGCATCAAAAAGAGTAGATATAGAGTAGAAAAAGAGTAGATATAGAGTAGACTGAGACGTAGAAATCAGCAGGAAGCTACCAGTACACAGTTGAACAACAGTGTGCAAAAAAGTTCAGCATTTCTCACGCTTGTTGAGGCGCTCGCGCACAGGCTGCCGGTGGCTTTCATCTCCATATCGGGGTTTATCGGTGGCTTTGCGGTACAGAAGGAGTTTCAGAGGAACCCGGCTGTAAACATGTTTACTTCATTCGAACGATTCCCTTCGGGAAATCGCTCAATCTGAACACAGCAGCAGACACTGAGCTGCTCTTCGGCGAACTCCCAGAGTCGCCTCTTCAGGGTCTCCACACCACATTGTCGAGCATCTTCCTTCCTGCAGTGGAGCATTTCGATAACTCTGACTGGTAAGCTGACTGGGAAACAGTGTGCATAAAGACTGAAATCAGCAGTCAGCGCAGGAACATGTCTTGCCTTCAACTACTTTCTCCTACCGGGGAGTTCACAAAAAGTGGCATTTTTCGCTTGAGCCAAAAGAAAGAGAGGCCGCAACGATGAAGGAATCGAGGGTCAGCACTGCCTCCTTTAGCCGTTCATCCTTCGCTCCTCTTGAATAGCAGTGGACAGTTTAGATGGCGTGCCCGCAGGAAGAAGTGTCCTCAAGAACAGCGTAATGAACTCCTTTCATGTACTCGTACTTTCTGCAAAGAGCTGGGAGATGCAATTGATTCCCTTGCTCATGGCATTCAGCTAAGGAAGCCAGATCCAAGGTGAATGGGGGGACCACTCGTATACCCTGCCCAATCCTACACCCCAAACCCTGAAGTGTTGTGAGATTCTTTTCTGTGGTCACGCATCCATCATTTCAAAAACAATATCGGCACGATTCACCCCCTGGTGCTGAACTTCTACAGGTTCTCTCTAGCTGATATAAAGAGAGATTACACTGCTTCTGCCAAGGACCCAGACGTGGTGGAACACTTTGAGGAACTATTAGACGATTGGTGTCGGCAGATTGAGAAATACCTGGGAACTTCACTGGAAAAGGGAGTAAACCAGGCTGACATTGGCCCCCGCAGCGAGGCAAGCTCCTTCTGAATATGTGTCTTGTGGCGAGTTCGGGTGGCCTCAGATCGACAGAGTTAGAGGTTTCAGCCTGGGTATGAGTTTACGGTTTAGGGTTTAGGGTTTTAGCTTTGTGTTGCTCAAGAACTCCCTTACTTTCTGCGCGTAGATTGAAATCTGGAGGAGTCGAATGCGAAAACTGAGTTCTATAATTCAGCAGCTGAAGAGCGATGTCTGCCACACCGTGTTTCAAGTGCTTCATGCCGTCACGAAAGTGGGTCAACATCGCATTAAATTCAGTAAAAAGGTTTAGATAAATTAGTTCAATTAGAATATCGTTCTATACCTGCCTTTCTGCAAAATTCTCTAGTGTCTCGTTTCTCTATGGGGAAGCTATACCCCGATAAGCTGAGGCTCAACTAGCCTCGAGCCATGCGAGTGTTCATACGAACAGGTGACGACTGGAGTTTCCCCCAAGTCGCGCCAAGCAGTTTTCCACACTCTTCGGCGGTGCAAGCTGCTTGATGTCGCCATTACCGAGGCCTTCAACGAAGCCAAGGATAATGTGAAGTATCTAACAACGCTGGAAAGATTCGTAGATCCTCTGTACTCGGGTACAACTCGCCAGCTGGTCTACGCTATATATATGTCATACAATAGTATTCTCTCGCTTTCCCTGCCTGCCCTGCTGGCTGCAACTTGTATCAAACAACAGAATGAAAAGAGATAGTAGGCTCTGCGAAATGCTACGTCTTTGTCGCCTTCAGGAACCCCCGCAAGCATCCTTGAAAGCCTCAGCCCGCTTATGAGCGCGATAACGATGATTTATTCTATATCGCGGTACTATAACACAACGGAGCGCATGGTTGCCTTCTTCGCAAAAATATCCAAGCAGGTAAGCTGCTGTTTCGGCGTATTGATGTGTATCAGCCTCCAGATGTAGTAGTAGCAGGACTGGCTGCCTATGAAGTGCTTAGTATCTATCTATCTATATAATATATATAATATATATAATATGCATATATATATATANATATATATATATACATGCCTCCTGTTGATATGTGTGTGTATGGCAACATTGCTTCAACGCAGATGATAACGAATTGCCGATCGTGGCTTACGGGTGGCCAGCACCACGAAGCGCTGTGGGAGCGGGAACCCGCTGTTATCATCCCCATGTTGGAGTACTGTTTAATGCTTAACAACGAATACCATGAACAGTACCGGGCTACCCGGGAAAACCTGATAGAAGTCCCAAAGGGGAAGCAGCTGGACTTGTCTGAACAAGAAATCTTCGGCAGGATGGACTTGTTCTGCAGGAGGCTTCAGAAGCTGATAACCATGGTAGATGCGACTTGGGCTTCTTGCTTTGCTGGGACGTTGTGTTCAGCTCTGGCGCGTTTCGAGGTTTCACTTTAGACTGCTGATGGCGAATGTATTTCGTTGTCCTATTTTGGGTGTATTCTCGTGCTTGTGATGCTTTTGACAGTACTCAACGGTTCAGCAATTCAAGAATATTGCGGAGCAGAGATTCGAAGGGATGGATGTATTTGTGGATCGTTTTAAGGTGCGTTAAACTGGCGAGCAAACAATTGTTCAAGCACGTCTACTACCACAGCACAAGATGCTGCCCGTGTATGAAACACTCACGTGCTGTGTGTGGGTTCCACGGGCTTGACGGCTTTATATTACTTAACTGTTTATACTAATAATATACGTGTTTGGAAAAGCACGCTCGTTGCTTTGCTGTGGACTCAGTCTATTTTTAATGACTTTAAAGTCAAGCGCCATGACCTCCTAGACTTCTACAACAACCGCTTTGACCGAGATTTTGTAGAGTTTTCCGTTCGTATTTCGAACTTGGAGAGCGACATGCTGCCACAGATAAACATGGTACATAGCGTCGGATTCCTGTGTTAGGTCACAGCGTGTTTCTCTTCTGCTGGCAACTGGTTTCATGGGAGCCGCAAAATGTTTATGTTGGAATGCAGATATTCGAGACAACTTCGTCAATCGATGAATCGCTGAGGCTGCTCCAAAAGCTGCAGGAAACCGTCTACAGCGAAGGCCTCAAGGCAGAGTTGAAAGGCAAAATCAGCCTGATTATTCATCGCTACAGCATTGAACTCGTCCAGGTAAGAACGTATCCCAACATTTCCCGTAAGAGTGATCCCTCCTCTTACGCTGCCCCTGAAAAGATGCTGGTTTCGTCTCCAAGTTCACGTGCAGATTCAAGAGGAATACGAACGGCGCAGGACCACCCCGCCACCGAGCAAAGACATGCCGCCCATTCCTAACAATATTATATGGGCTCGGGATCTGTTGAAGAAGATTGAGGTAATCTTCTTGGAACAATGTTTGGCCTGCGGGAAACATTTGGGCCTGACTCACAGTGCTGCTCTCTGCAGAGTAGCGAACGGAGAATGAGAAAAAAAAAATAAAGAAACCGTGTAGTTACGGGCAGGCCTTGATGTTTTGTATTTTATTCTCAGGATCCCATGAAGCAGTTTCAGCTGTATCCGTCTGCTCTAGCAACAAAAGAGGGAAAACGCACAATCAAGCTATACAACAGAGTAAGCTTTTAGCATGCTGTTGCAAAATTGGATGCATGGATATGTGATCTTACCGAGTGTGGAGTGCACGCGGGGTGTTTCAAGGCTATATACACGGATTTTCTAGCTTTTGCGGACAGTAGACAGCGTGTGTAAGCTACATAAGAATTTTTGGAATCTTCGTTTCTCCCCAGGTGGCTGAGACGCTAGTTGAATACGAACTGAGGTGGCATCAAGCATGGACTGATTGCGTTCAAGCCACAGCCGACTGTTTGAACAGTAACCTCCTTGTGAGGAACCCAAGTACGGGAAAGTTGTCGATTAACTTTGATAGTGATATTTCACGGTTAATTCGGGAGGCGAAAATCATGGAGAGGATGGAAATGGAGATACCCGATAGCGGCCGTATAGTTTTCCTGAGGGGGAATAAACTCAAGTGGTGTTACGACGAGCTGAAGTTCATTCTCGATGTGCGCAAGCGTCACATGCACCTTCTAGTTCCCTTTGCGATAGAAAATGGAGCTTTTGGCAGTATGCATGCGCTGCCCTTTACTTGCACGTGAATGCCGCACTGCGACCAAAACAAGATACACACTTTGGCTCTGCCGGGCATCTGTGGAGAGGAACAATGGCACTCCAGACGCATTGATGAGTGCGGTTAACAGGAATGCTATGCTGCACCTCAGGAATACCAAAGGGTATCTTCAGCAATTCGACCGGTCACAGCAGGCCTCCTACAAAGGCATCTTGACAATTTTGAGAAGCACCTTAATCCAGGTTTGCATAGTTTAACGTGGGCTTCTCTAAACATTGAAAGCTTCTTGCAGTCTTCAACCAGTGCTTTGGAGAAGCTGGACCTGCTGGTTGTGACAGTTAATGACATTGTGGAGAACAGGATTGAGAATAACATAAAGGTGGGTGTACCCCTCATTCAGTGAACACATGATATATCCGCTTGATGCATTCAAGTACATAGCCGCATCTGCTCATATGATGCTCTGCAGTCTTTGGGTGAAACTCTCCTAGTCGATCTACCCGCCCCAGGGGAGGTAATATCTCTCAATCGATTTGTCGAGATGCAAGAGCATCACGTTGCCAAGTCAGCTGAGCTCCTTAATGCACGCTCTCTGGAGATCGAGAATGCCGTCAGAGACCTGCTGGAAGTTATTAACAAGCAGGTTACGGAGCACCAGGGTGATCCTGTAAGCGAATGCATTTGGTTGCCGGCTAGAGGGACGCTGTAGCTGCAGCTTTGCAAAAGCAGTTCCACATAAGGAGTCAGGTGAGGGTGTGGCATCCCCACAGAGCATATCGCATGAAAGCGCAGTACGGTGTCCGCTCAAGATTTCTTCATGACGTTGCAGATTGTTTATAAGGAGGAAGCTGAAAAAATTAATTCCCAATACGAATGGAACCTGTACAAGGCCATTCTGCTTGCCACCCGAAGGTCCTTTGACTTTCTGAGGCGCCACATGTACTCTGCTCAACAGGGTAATCCATCGTGCTGGTTCCTTCCTAGCCGAGGCGCAAACTCGTGCTGTTCAAATATACTTCTGCACACTATTGTGGAATCGGAGCCAGTCACTGTATATGCATTTGTCGCTATTTTTGCTTGGTGTTCGCTTTTCAGGTTCAGGGGCATCTAAAGCTCCTGTGAATGCCATATTTGAAGTGGACATTCAACTGGACGGCACGGGGGTGCGGCTTCACCCGTCCATCGACGAGTTTCAAGAAGCTATAAACCGCTCAGCAGTTGCTGTCCTCAACTGTTCAAAGTGCATTCGGCAGTGGGGTACGGACGATAAAAAAAGTGGGGAGGAAACCCCTGCTTCGTCCAGGCCTAACGGCTTTAGTTCGCGCATTAAAGACGAAAGGGATATACAGAAGGTCCTGCTGGGATTTTTCGGGTCTATTCAAAACATTCGAGATGAAGTGGCCAAGTATCTTGTCAAATTTGATGTGAGGCCCTGCAGTTACGTTTTGTGTCGTTTTAGTCCAAGTGTTTAGCTTACCAAACGACCCGCTTGTTTCAAGTGGTGGGTTCAGAAACGGTAGCCAGTTCTCGGGTTTCCTTTTTTTCAGGTGTTCAAATGGTTATGGATGGAGCCTTGCAAAGATAACTACGTGGCCTTTGAGAAACAGAACCCGTCGTTGGAAGACTTTGAAAAGAAACTAAAGAGTTTCCAGGAAGTTGAAACTCAGCTACAAAAGATGGAACAAGCCAAGCCCATTGGAATGCTCCTAATAAACAGCTCCGCCCTGTACCCTCAGGTAGAAGTTGCTTCGAGCTGCCTGAGTGATCTGACTAGAAGAATATTCCTCTTTGTATTACCGTATTACGGGAGATTTACTTAAGAGCTTAGTTCATGCAAGCATATGTAGGATACGTCGGAAGCAGAGAACAGTTTCAGGCGTAAGGGTGGATAAATGCCGTTTTACCTCAGGTGTCCATGCGTGCATCAGATGAGGCATTCTGGTCACTTCCCTCTTGATGTTGCATGTTACTCAGCTGATAGAGCTAGCTCGCCGATGGAATATTTATTACCTCAGCAAGCTGCACGTTACTGCAAAGGAGCGCCTCGAAGCATTAACGGAACAAATAAGACAGGGGTCCAAGGGCCTGCACCGTCCAGTTACTGATATAGACGTATTACGGCACGTTATGGATACACTCACATCGATAACGCAACAGGAGTCGGGTAAGGCAACATTTTCGTCAGCCACGCGCAACTCGTAGCTGCCTTTTAGCACGAACATTAAACAGTTGAAAATATCTTGTCCCTGTGATTATCCTCGGTTCGTTGCAGACATAGAGGCACAATTCGAACCCGTCTTTACGATGTACAGTATGATAGATCGGTACCTGCCTGGCAATGTGACTCTCATCGACAAGGATGAACAAGACCAGAGGTTGCTTCTCCGCTCCTCGTGGTCAAAGCTGATCGAGGAGGCGCAGGAAGCCCAAGCAAATTTGCAGAAGATGCAGTCTACATACAAACGAGAGCTCATTCTCAATATAAATACGCTGAAAGCCGATTCCAAGCAATTCCGTGAAGACTTCGTCAAGAATGGGCCTGCGTGTCCCGGCATAAAACCTAGGTTAGCAGTAGCACACGTTTCTTGTATTTGAAGCCTTTCACCTAGGCAGCTCCACGTCATGCCCCTAGACGTGCGGCCCCCAGAAAACCTCTGCGCGAAGCTGTGGCTGTGCTGATACTATCTTAAAGGGATGCCGTAGAGCGAGTGAAACGGTTCAAGGCAGAATGCGATGTCCGAGCTCGCAAACAAGAGATCTACCATGCGGGAGAGGAACTTTTCGGCTTCCCCCATCAGGCGTACCCAGAGCTCGAGCAAACAAAGAAGGAGCTAGCGAACTTGAGCCTTTTGTACGATATCTATGTTCAAGTGAGCAGGCGCAAACTTTTTCATGAGGATGGGTTCTCAACAAAGCAGAGTAACTGCTTAGAAAACTTCCATGTGCCTAGCGAGAGCGTGGTGGTTCGTGTTTTTCCTTTGCAGGTAGTAGATACGATTAAAGAGTGGAAGGACATTTTGTGGGCAGAAGCCCCTCCCCAAATTCCTTTCATGACTGAAAGAATTCAGTACTTTTCGGATGCTTGCAAGCGGCTGCCCAAGCAGCTCAAGACGTCTGATGCCTTTGCTGAATTAAAGAAAGAAATCGATGATTTCACAGAGGTACTCCACTTCACAGCAGCTTGCACCCGTGCCAATATATGCAATTGTGGGGAAACTAGTGCAATTTGATATATATATATATATATATATATATATATATATATATATATATATATATATATATATATATATATATGTGCACAAATAATGGTGTTTCAGGTTCTCCCACTATTAAAAGAGCTGAGCAAACCTTCCATCGTGGCGCGCCATTGGAAGCAAGTGGAGGAAATTACTGGAAAATCTCTTGGCATCGACAATGAAATGACACGTCTGCAGGCCCTGGTCGACGCAGACTTGCTTCAATACAAAGTACATACCGGGCTAAGGGTTTTGTGTTTAGCGTAGAGCATTTAGCATCGCCTTTTCCTACAGCCGTTAGACTCGGGGAGTTTCTTTCAGAGCTCGAGTAAAATGCAATCTCACTTCTCCCTAAGTTGTGGTCAATTGGCTATGCTGGCATAGGATGACATATTCGACATCTGCGAGTCAGCAGACAAGCAGCTGGTGATCGAAGGAAAACTGAAGGACATCGAAAACATGTGGAAGTCGTGCATGTTTGAATTTGGCAAATGGAAAACTCGGTAGGTTACGGCACGGGATATTTCAGTTTTAGCTGGAGCTTTTCCCTTTGGCACGCTACGGGCAAAGCCTTGACTCTTCATGCATGCAAACTCCAGCAAGACCTTATCGTCATCTACTCAGAGGTTGACCGAAAAGCTTTCCAAGGTTTCTGCTTTCTGTTTTATAGTGACTACTACTGTATCCTACAAGGAGGACGTGTGGCTGAGGTCCAGGAGCTACTTGAGGAGTCTCAAATGACATTAAACGCAATGAATGCCATGCGTCATGTCATGCCATTCAAGGAGAGGGTTGTGAACATGCTCAGCACTCTCTCGGATGTTGCAGGCAAGTTCTAGCCACCATACGTTGCTGTCTTTGTGCTTTCAAGCGTACGCGTAACTTTTCAGGGGCCAGTGATGCTCTTCGTCTGCCTTGTAGACCGTGCACTGGCCTGCAGACACTATCGAAAGTTGGACCAAGGTGCAAGTCCTTTGGACGTCACTGGAACCTGTTTTCACCGGAGGAGATATCGCGAAGCAGATGCCCGGAGAGGCAAAACGGTTCCATGCCATTGACAAAGATTGGGTGCGGCATCCTTAAGCTGTAACGGTGGAAAGATGTGGGAGGCAGGTAGCACCATCACGCTCAGATGGTCACAGACGTGGCAGAAGGGCTTGAACTGTGTGATCTCTAATGGTTGTTTCCGACATATGCTGTTGACGAATCTACAGACAAGGATTATGGCAAGAGCATCAGAAACGCTTATTGTGGTTGAATGTTGCCAAAACGAGCTACTGCGGCAACTTCTCCCCTCGCTCTTTGCTGGACTCGAGAGCTGTCAAAAATCACTGGAGTCTTATTTGGAAGGCAAGAGGAATAAATTTCCGAGGTTCTACTTTGTCTCCAATCCAGTCCTCCTCAAGATCCTTTCCCAAGGATCTGATGCAGAAACTGTTCAGGACGACTTGGAGAAACTGTTCGATGCAATTTCTAGAGTACGTGTTTGTTGAACACTACTGCTGCTGAACGTTTCGAGGCTTCAACCAGCTGGTCACTACTAAACTAAACGCAAAGTGGCACAAGGGGCCAAACATGGTGGCAAATGATCCTTTTGCTGTCCGCCGCAGGTGGAGTTTGACAAAGCAGATCGGAAAAAAATTACAGCCATCAAAGCCGTGGCTGGGTCGGCGGAGGAGGTGGTGCCTCTCACCGCTCCAGTCAAAGTCGAGGGAAACATAGAAGACTGGCTACGTTCGTTAGAGGCTCAAATGCAGAAATCCATTAGAAGGGAATGCAAATATGCAGCACACGAATCGGGTTCTATCTACAGTCAAATGACTCTGCGGGAGTTCTGCGACAAATACATCGCCCAAGTATGCTCCCGGTCCCTCGGGTCTATGACATCATGAATTTACTATCGTGTACTCTGGAAAGCATTGAAGTACCAAGCAGTCTGGGATGGTCGCGCTATAGTTCATTGTTTGCGCAGTTATAAACAACGAGATATTGTGGTGTGATTGCGGAGCTCAGGTTGCACTGCTAGGAATTCAGATGATATGGACAGCCGACTGTCAGGAAGCTCTAGATAAGATGTCTAGGGAGCGAGACAGAACAATCATGTCGCAAACAAACAAAGTGTTTGCAACTATGATGGCAGACTTGGTGCAGTGCTGTCTCTCGGACCTCGGGACCAGGCTCAACCGCACGAAGTACGAAACGCTAGTTACTATTCACGTGCACCAGGTGAGTAGTAAACATTTCTCAGGCATGTCACTCTAATGCTTTAATCCAGGAATGCATCGTATAGAACGCCTATCTGGGACTTCATTATTTCTTGCATACATGAAAAGAAAGAGAATGTAACATACTTTTTTTGTGATTGCTGTGACAACAACGCAGCGCGATGTATTTGCGGATTTGTGGAAGAAAGTAAAGGAGCATCGGCTCAAAGATTCGAGTGACTTTGAATGGCTCAAACAGACTCGTCTGTATTGGAATAATGATCAAGAAAGTGCACTGATTTCTATTGCCGACGTGGAATTTTCATACTGTTATGAGTACCTTGGGGTGAAAGAACGTCTGGCCATCACTCCGCTGACAGACAGGCGAGCCTGAACATTCCTATTACATACGCAGGTTGGAGAAAAGAGACTGCACAGTCAAACGTTGAGCAGCTGTACATGTTTATTCAGCGCAAGTGGGCGGAAACCGCTCACAGACGGAGCGTACAAATGGTGGTGCCTGCAGGTGTTACCTTACATGCTCCCAAGCACTTGGCATGTTTTACGGAGGAGCGCCGGCGGGTCCTGCTGGGACTGGAAAGACGGAAACAGTTAAAGATATGGGAAGAACGCTTGGTGTTTTTGTGGTTGTTACCAACTGTTCGGATCAACACCGTTTTACAGATATGGCCAAGATATTCAAGGGCCTCTGTCAGAGTGGCTTATGGGGTTGCTTTGACGAATTCAATCGAATTGACCTGGAAGTGTTGTCCGTCGTTGCCATGCAGGTTTGTGGGTGTTTGCGTCAACTGCGGGTGTCGGCAGAGGAGTCAGCTCAAAACTGTGGCAGAACTACTTCAGAGTTGAAAGCACTGCTGACAGTGGCTCTAGGGGTATATTTGAGGGCTGAACGTAGCATGAAAGGCAGTTCACGTCGGAGTTGCGTACTTGAGTGAATTCAGATAGAATCTATAACTCTGGCAAAAAAGCAAGCTCTCAAGACCTTCCTATTCCCCGGCGAATCAGCTCCCATCAAGCTGGTCCCAACAACTGCCTACTTTATCACAATGAACCCTGGATATGCGGGGAGGCAGGAGCTCCCTGAAAACTTGAAGGTCTTATTCAGGAGTGTATCCATGATGGTTCCCGACCGGCAAATTATTATAAAGGTATCCTACTTTCTCAAACAGTTTGAAATTGATATGTTTATAAGACGTACTTGGGGCATAGACCTATTATTATTAGGATTAGCATTATTAGTCAAAAACTGTGCTTTTCCTTTCCTCTTCCTCTATGGATAATGCCCATGCCCAGGCCATCTTCACCCAATGCACTAGATAGTACTTTGGCTTACGTACGGTCAATATCCCGCCTTGGCAAACACTTTGCCGACTCGGTTTATCGACTCACCATAATGAAGAGCTCACCATAATGAATAGCAGTTGGTGCGAATGGCTTCCTGCAGGTCAAGCTGGCCTCAGTCGGATACATGGATATAGACAATCTTTCAAAAAAGTTCAAGGTGTTGTACGGATTGTGCGAGGAGCAGCTTTCAAAACAGAGGCACTATGACTTCGGTCTCAGGAACATTCTTTCTGTGCTGAGAACGGCAGGAGCCACGAAGCGTAACGAGCCAGAAGCGGATGAGGAAATGCTTCTCATGAGGTATAAAACAGCCCACTGCGTTTCTGGTTCATACTTATCCACTCTCAACTAATCTGCAAGCATACAAGGATAGTAAACATACACTGGCTCCGTGTGAAGAAAATGCATGCAGAACCCTTCGTGATATGAACTTGTCGAAGCTGGTTGCGGACGACGTCCCGTTATTCCTTTCGCTTCTCAACGACATATTCCCCCGCCAAGCAAATCCACCGAAAAAGGTGTACCAGGAAGTCGAAACTGCTGTCTTGCAGGAGCTGCAAAAGCGTGGGCTTATCCGAACTGATGAGTTTTTGATTAAAATCATGCAGCTTTACGAGGTACAGAGATCCACCATGAGCTTGCACCCATGACAGCGTTCTAGTTGTTCTTGCTTCGCCGACAGGTTTATGTTGAAAATCAGTATAGTGGATCGCTCTCATTGGCGCTGCAGACTTCTGTTGTACGTCACGGGTTTATGTTGGTTGGCGATTCCTGCTCGGGAAAAACAACGATCGCCAATACGCTGACAGCGGCGCTGACGGCCATCGGGCAGCAGACCCGCATTGTAACGATGAACCCAAAGGCCATTACTGCCCAGCAGATGTATGGTGTTAAGGATCCTATATCTGACGAGTGGACTCCGGGTATCTTCGCCTGGATGTGGGCACGGTACAACAACCGCTCGTTAAAGTTCAACACTTGGATTACCTGCGATGGACCAGTAGATGCTATTTGGATTGAGAACCTCAACACGGTCTTGGACGACAACAAAATATTGACTCTTGCTAACAACGATCGTATCCCCATGACGGAAAATACGAGGTAATGACGAAATACCCACTTCTTCGTAATCTCCTTCAGTTTAGTTTTAGGTGTTAAGGCACCCCGTTAATAGCCCAGAGTGCACTTCCTCTACTGACTGAGTCATCGTTGTATGCAGGATCGTTTTTGAAGTGGAGAATCTTAACAACGCATCTCCAGCTACCGTCAGTCGTGCGGGGATCATCTTTGTCTCCGCTTCTGACCTGGGATGGAAGCCTTTGATCCGAAGCTGGCTGGAACGGCTCGCCTCTGAAGGCCCTGAAGGCGTACAGAAATCAAAAATCATGAGCGATTTATTCGACAAGTAAACAGTGCCTGCCCGTGCTTGAGGTAGCATTTCCCCGTAGTTGAATAACGCCAATGAAACATTATTATCGTTTCTTTCGCTTGGCTGCCAAGTGTGTTGTATTTCTGGATCCTTCCTTTTTGTTCTTTATCCGTTTTTTAGGTATATAAACTCGTCTCAAGTATACGACTTCGCTCTCAGAGATTGCACTCACGTGATGCAAATCACGCCCGTCGTTATGACTGTGCAACTTCTGAACCTTCTTAGTAGCATGCTGATGTCATATGAAGGTGCTGGCGAAGGCATGACCCAGCAAGACTACGAAAACATGATGGTATATGCTATAGCTTGGTCTTGTGGCGCCTTATTTGAACCAGAGGACAGGCAAAAGTTTAGTACATTCTTAAAAGAAAAGATGGGGTCACCACACCAGTGCGAGCCAGGACTTACAATTTTTGATTACTTCGTCGACCCGAAGACCAAGAGGTTCCGCAAATGGGTGGCACCTGACTGGACCCCACCAAAAGGGGCTTTCTCCTTCTCATCGATCCTCATACCGACTCTTGACTCAGAAAGGTTTGTCGATGCGGGTGCATATGAGAGCAGGATACCACTGGAGAGTCTCAATGCATATCTAGATGGCAATTCTACACACAGAAAGTTTCACTGGAATATTACTGCATCTGTGGACTACATTCTTCAGGGCTGAATATCTTCTGCAGCTCATGACATGTTTGCCACAGTCAAGAAACCCACCATCGTTTCAGTCCGTTTTGCTACTCGGAGGCCCTGGTACAGCCAAAACCTCTACAGCGCTCATGTTTTTGGAGAAGCTGGACGCCAACGAAACCTTGTGGAAGAGGGTGAACCTTTCGTCAGCCACTCTCCCTGAGCGTTTCCAGCAAACCATCGAATCTAACCTGGAAAGGAAGACAGGGAAAACCTACTGTCCGCCAGGTGGCAAACAAATGGTCTTCTTCCTGGATGACCTGTCCATGCCATTTGTAAATGCCTGGGGTGATCAAGTTACTCTGGAATTATTACGCCAGTTAATTGAGCAGGGAGGCTTCTATTTCCTAGAAAAAGACAAAAGGTACTTTTCTACGTCTTCGTTCGGCAGCTAATTAAGGTATCCTGCATGAATATCTGAAATTTCTCACCGGGACCATGTCCACATAGACTACGTCGGTATTGTTGGGTGATATTACGCTTGCAGAGGCGACTTTAAGTCTATCATTGGTCTCCGGTATATAGGAGCGATGAATCACCCTGGTGGTGGTCGTAATGATATTCCAAACCGTCTAAAATCTAAATTTTTCTCACTGAACATGATTCTGCCGTCGTTGACTTCCGTTGACAACATATATGGGTCGATGATTCGAAGCAGAATTACCTTGAAGAATGGTGCAACACCACTGGTGAGAGTTGAAGCACTTGATCAGACACAGTGGCTACACGATTAGGCTATACGCGAGCTGCAAATGGTGCTGTATTAGCTTGATGTGAGTTAACTTGCAATCAGGTCGTCGATATGTCGACAAAACTTACCCAAGCTACAATTGACGTGTGGCTCGAAGTTAAGAAGCTGTTGTTGCCTACGCCTAGCCGCTTCCATTACATCTTCAACCTACGCGATCTTTCACGGGTGTTCCAAGGAGTACTGAACTGCCCGCTCGATGTCGTAAACACTTGCGAAAACTTCCTTGGCCTCTGGAAGCACGAGTGCACCAGAGTGTTGGCGGATAAACTATGCCGAAAGAGCGACAAGGACGTTGTTGAAAAGGCCATAAACGATGCCTGCACCAAGCACTTTGGCGCGGCGTTGCAGAAAGCAGTCGCAGATACGCCATGGTACCTTCATGCACTCCTTTTATCGTGGCACTCGTGAAGGCGAATTGCAGTTTCGCAGTGTACCCGTCCTAATGAGTGGCGGCCAGACGCATAGCTGTTGCTTGCCTGGTCTTGCATAAACCAGCTGTTTGCTGATATTCCGCTGTTTGCTGATATTCGCGTGCATTCTTGAGAGTCGCATGGTGCGGGAAACCTGGTAGGAGTACGCTGGTGCTCTGCAGGTTCGCCGACTTCCTGAGGGAGCCTGGTGAAGACGAATCCGGGGAACTACTACCTGCTCAGAAGGTATATGAGCCAGTGCCAAATCTACAACTCGTCAGAACCAGAGCGATGGAATATCTTCAGCGCTATAACGAAGAAAACCCAGCAAAGGCGGCCGACTTAGTTCTATTTGACGATGCACTAGCTCATCTAATGATCATTTCGAGAATTATTCAGGTAGGGGAGGCCCTCAAGATATTAGGAAGAGTTCACCATAGAGTGTACACAGCCGTGAAGGGGACATAGTGAACGGTTGTTCCATCCAGCGGGAGTTGATGGCCTCTGCTGCAGATGCCGCGGGGATCAGCAATGCTTGTGGGTGTTGGAGGCTCCGGAAAGCAGTCGCTTACTCGGCTGGCCTCGTTCATTGCTGGCCACTCCCAGTTTCAAATCGCTATCACCAAGACGTATAGTGATGGTGCCCTGTTTGATGATTTCCGAGCCCTCTACGTAAACACTGGACAGAAGAATATGCAAACGACCTTCCTTCTGACGGACTTGGAAATAAAGAACGAGGGCTTTTTGGAATACTTCAACTCTTTCCTCTCCACAGGAGAAATCTCCGGTCTTTTTGCCAAAGATGAAATGGATTGTGGGTCATATGCAATCCCCTGCACATTTTGAGCTCAGGTGCATTACTCCGTAAGCGGTGAGGAACGTTCCACGCCATAATAGTGTACCCTGCACATACATGTCGGTTCCCGGCTGGTGCGCGTGCGTTTTTTGTCAGCTATGGTCGCTGACAGACGAGCCGACTTCATCAAGGAATGCCCACACTTGCCGGAAACTATGACAAATATGTACAATTTCTTCTTGAATCGCGTCCGTGCAAACTTGCACATAGTCCTCTGCTTCTCCCCATTGAGCAGAAAATTTGCAGGTCAGCGCCGCAGGCGTGCATTCGATCTAAAAGTGCTGCATATGCGGCTCTACGGGATAGACAACCGAATCAGCCGCGCACCGTGGTCTCTTCAGAAATATACCTTACTCAATAGGTGGCGAATAGTGGTTGACCGTCATCGCTGTAGAATTCATGTGCACCAATACAATCCAAATCCCGCCTAGAGGCTGTATAAGGGTGTTCTGAGAATTTGCACTGGTTGGTGTTCAGATCGGGCACAGAAGTTCCCGGGACTCTTCAGCTGCACGACCATTGACTGGTTCTTGCCATGGCCTGAAGCCGCGCTAGTTGCCGTCTCGTCGAGCTTCCTGGACAAATTCGAAATAGACGCAAGCGCTGAAAAAAAACTTGTCTTGTACAACGTTATGGGTAACGTGCATAATAATGTGAGCACAATCAGATTCCGTCTGTTATCAAATTGCTCTGTTGAAGCGCATGTTTGGTGTGTATGAGTGATGCCTTCGTCGGGCTTTACTACTGGTAAATTATTGGGCCACACTGCAGAAGCATCGTAAACACGCAGGAGTGCGCTGCCCGATACCTCAGGTAAATCGAACTTGTGATGAGTATTTCCGACGCATGAGGCGCTACGTCTACGTCACACCAAAGTCGTACCTCTCATTTATTAATTTCTACAAGAAGGTCTACACCGAAAAGTTCGACGAAGTGAACAACCTGGAGCGCAGGTAAAACCCTAACATGAAGACGGCAACACTAGTACGTTCACGGTTTTGTCTGGTACAATGCCGTATTTCGTAGCTTGGATTGAGTATGGCGCAGCGTTAACGTGGGTTTGAAGAAGCTGAACCAGGCTGCTCAAGATATTAAACAAATGAAGGTGCAGCTGAAGGCTGAAGAAAAGAAACTGCAAGAGTCCGAAGTGCAGACAAACCAGCTTTTGGCCAAAGTACAAAGCGAGTCTGCCAAGGCCGAGAAGAAGAGTCAAGCAGTACGCATCTTCACATTTCACTAATGATCGGACTCTATGTAGACATTTACTTTCCGGCAAGGAAATGCTTACCACATCCTTCCATATGTTTCTGCGTAGCGTGGAGCCTTTGAAAGATCCTGCTGTGTCGTGCACGCAACGCAGGTGGCAGCATTCCGAGATGAATGTCTAAAGAACAAAGAAGAGATTGAGCGAGAGCAAGAAGAAGCTAACAACGACCTGCAGGCAGCTCTACCCTACCTGCGGGAGGCCGAAGACGCAGTCAAGTCCATCACTGCAAAGGACATAGTTGAGCTAAAGACGATGAAAACGCCTTCAGATATTATTCGCCTTGTCTTCGACGGTGTTCTTATTCTCCTTCAAAATCGGCTGGCAGATGTTAAAGCAGAATCGAAGGTCATAAATAAGAAACAGATTGACTTTATTCATGATTCCTTTGACGAAAGTGCGAAGGCAATGATGGCGGACGTTCACTTCCTCTCCAACCTCTTCGACTTTTCCAGGGTTAGCATTAGCCTCTCTTCGCTGTGCATCATCCTTGCTGGGGCATTGCCACGAAGAAGCTAAAAGCTCAACCAGCGTGCGCAAGAGACGTGAATGACGTGGATTGGTGTGTAATGTGTTTTCCGTTGGAGTAGAAAGAGAAGGATAATATCAACGACGAGACCTGCGAACTCCTGTTACCGTACCTCGAACTGGAGCACTTCAATCCAGCAGTTGCTAAGAAGGCGTCAAATGCTGCTGAAGGTGAAGCAGGCGTGCACCTACATTCGCCTAGGAAAAAGCAAAACGGTTTATAACTAACTTAGGCTGTGCCATGGCCGTTCCATTCTATTTGCCTTCGGTGGTTATTTGTTGTTCTGCAGGGCTGTGCAAGTGGGTCGGAGCTATGGTCATGTATCATGAGGCGGCAAAGATTGTCAAGCCAAAAATGGACTACTTGACAGTACAAACAGCAAGGTACGCTTTCACTAACACAACTTCGAAACACTGCGTGCCACTCAGACTGCTCAGGTTACACTAGCAGCGCAGTCTGCTAGTTGCTGCTTTCTGTTTCATTTGAATGTGTTATACAGGGTTGAGGTTGCCCTCCGTCAGTTAAGCGAAGCAGAAGAGGAGTTGCGAAAGGCTCAGGCGGTGCTCGACGAAATAAATCGTCAATTCCAGGAGGCACTTGCATCGAAGCGAGAGCTAGAGCAGAAGGCACAGGCGACAAAGCGCCGAATGGAACAGGCGAACAGGCTGATCAACGGACTTGCAGGAGAAAAAGCTCGATGGTCGGTACCCCCTGATCTTCCTATTCTTTGCATGGGTGACGAAGGCGATGGTAAATTATTATTCATGAGAGGCGATGATGCGTATTCTGTTGCAGGACGGAAGATTCGAACACTTTCGCTGAAAGGAGAAAACGGCTGGTTGGTGATATCCTAGTAGCGGCAGGATTCGTGTCTTATTGCGGCCCGTTCAACGCCGAGTACAGGGAGTTGCTAAGGAAGGAGTTAGTCCCTCATAAAAAAGTTACAGGAGCCATCTGGCAGAGATTGTCGACACAAAAACAATAGCTACTTTGGGAGTGCGAATATACATATCCTAACCTGCACACACCATTCTACGGTTGAGCAGCGATATCACCAATCGCTTCATTTCTTAGCTGCTGTCCTGTGCAATCAGGGTTATGTTGAAGGATGCCAAGAATAACGGCATTCCCTGCTCTGACACTCTTAACATTGTCGATTTACTTGTCGATGAGGGAACCCGCGGGGAGTGGAACCTGCAGGGCCTCCCCGCAGACGAGTTGTCTGTGGAAAATGCCATCATTGTTACGCGATCAGATAGGTACCCCCTACTTGTAGACCCGCAAGGACAAGCGCATAATTGGATTAAGAAGAAGGAAGAAAAGAGCATGAAAGGTTCTCGCCAGTGTATAACAACAGCAACTGATCCAAGGTAAATTTCGCAGAGCATGCTACGTCGCAGAGCTGCCTAACTGCGAGCGTCGCAGCAGCGTTCAGCGGTATTCTTCAGTTTTCGAGACGTTCTGGTGTATCTACCGAAGGTTATATTCACGTTTTGCACGTCCCATACTAAGCCCTTATTCGAATGTAACTGACTCATCAAGCACAGTAGTAAGGCATGGCTCTCTCTTTTCTACCAGGTTTAAGGATAAGGTGGAGTTCTGCCTTTCGGAGGGCCTGCCAATACTGATTGAAAATCTTGGCGATAATGTGCCGGAGGTCTTAGATCCCATTCTTGAAAAGCAGTTCGTTAAAAAAGGAAAACGGCTCTATGTTACCTTCATGGACCAACAAGTGGAGTACAACTCAGGGTTTTGCCTGTACATGACAACGAAGCTCGCCAATCCTCACTTCTCCCCAGAGATCAATGCGAAATGCACCATGATAGACTTTACTGTTATGCATGAAGGTACGAGTACAACGGTCGTGACCGTGACATCCCGGAAGCCAGTTGCTGCTTTGATCAAATAAGTGGCTTTTATGCGTGCGCATATGAGCCAGTTGTGCTTCTTCTACTCAGGTCTTGAGCAGCAGCTGCTTGGTCGAGTTCTCTCTATGGAGCAGAGAGCTCTCGAAGAGTCGCTCAACCAGCTGGTGGAATCGTTGACGGCAAATACAAAGGCTCTGAAAGAGCTGGATAGTCAGCTGCTTGATCGTTTGTCCCATTCTTCTGGAAACCTTTTGGACGACCTGGAGCTTATTGAGGTGCTTGCCAACACCAAAGCGAAGGCAAAAGAAGTCGAGAAAAAGCTCAAAGATGCCCAGGAGAAGAAGGCAGAGGTAATGAGAACTGTCCAATCCACTGGCTTAAAAAGCATTGGGCAAGAAAACTACATCATCGTGCACGTAGTGCACCGTGAAGGTGGGGTGAAATGTTGACCATCCAGAGGCAACAGTTCATAGACGAAATTAAGCCTGCATGCACGCTCCTCTGCATGAATATGTGGCTATTCAGATTAATGAGAAGAGAGAGCAGTATCGTCCAGTGGCAACGAGAGGATCCGTCCTATATTTCTGCATGGTCGAGGCCTCTTTGATATGTTGGATGTACAACAGCTCCCTCGCGCAGTTCCTAGAGCAATTTGATATCTCTGTTCATAGATCAGAAAAGGCACAACCAACCCATAAGCGAGTAGAGAAGATAGTAGAATATCTGACTTACCAAGTGAGCTCTTCATGGATCAAAATAAGTGTAGCTATCAGATCTGTAGGGATTTATTGCATGAAGAGTCCATCATTGTATCATATCTGCATATATACTGTCGAGACATAAAAGAGGAGTCGAATAGCTGACGTTGCTACAATCAGTGCGAAACTTTTGTCATTGGCGTCTCAACGCTCTGAATACAGGTCTATAGGTACGTCTGCCGAGGACTTTTCGAGCGCCACAAGCAAACCTTTGTGATGATGCTTATACTAAAAATGTTGCAAATCGATGGTGTACTTCAATCTTCTGACATTTCTTTACTTCTCAACGGTGGCGCAGGTGAGGGACTACTTACTATGTGCTGCTGAAGTAATGAAACACTAATATCTCTTATCACCTTAATTCATCAGCATCGCAGAAGGCCGCTTCCGGCCGCTGCTGTCTCCTACTCCCTCATATATATTGTGCCGAGAGTGGGAATTTTGTTCTTCAAACATTATGACTGCAATTGAGATATCCTTTCTTGCAGGACTTGATGAGAAGGCAGAAGCGCCTTGTCCCTTCAGGTGGTTAGGGCAGGACTCAAAAGTATGGCTAAACGTCTTGCAGCTCTCAAGGACAAGCTTCGGTCGAGACCAAATACAACTCTTCTGCGAATTGCCAGAATCGCTTAGCAAAAACGAAGCTGCGTGGAAGAAGTGGATGGAAGATAACGAGCCAGAAAATCTGCCAATCCCGGACTACGAAGACAGACTTAAGTGCCTGAAAAACCTCGGCCACATTCTAAGGCTCTGTCTTGTGAGCAAGTGCCACCTAATTTCACACACATGAATAACAGCAGAAAAGAAGGGCTGCTAATCACGGGTCCTGAAGTTACTAGGGGTGCGTTTTTTTCCAACGTGTGTTAACAGATCCGCTCGATGAGGCCTGATCGAACAGTGGTGGCATCAGCACGTGCTATCGATCAGCTATTGGAGCCAAAGTATACCGAACCGGTGACTGATTCTGTTGAGTCCATATGGCAAGAATCATCCTGTCGCGTTCCAGTGATATTCTTGCTCTCCGCCGGTGCGGACCCGACGTCAAGCATTGACGAGCTTGCAAAGAAGAAGCGAAAGTTCCCGACTGACAAAGTGTCAATGGGTGAAGGGCAGGAGGTTGTTGCAAGGGAAAAAATTAAATCAGGCTTTTTATCCGGCAGCTGGGTAGTACTGCAAAACTGCCACCTTGGGCTGAATTTCATGAGTGAAATCGAGGAGCTCCTCCTTCGGGTCACAGAAATTAACAAGGCAAGCATTTGTGTACACAATAATTTGGGGCCAGATGTTAAAACAACCAATGCCTGCCGCTAGCTTCTGCCATTAACTAGCACGAGAAACTAGAAAAAAACGCGGAGGATATATACATGCTCGCTTAGGCTTCATGGCTGGCTCTCCCGCAGAGTTTGTGCTTCAGGATTTCCGTTTGTGGATTACATGCGAGCCTCATAATAAGTTTCCCATTGGACTTCTACAAATGGCCATTAAGGTCACAAATGAGTCGCCCATTGGACTCAAGGCTGGGCTTTCGAGGAGCTTCACAACGATGATAACCCAGGAAACGCTGGACAAAGTAAACAACGAAAAGTGGCGTGCCATTGTATTTGCGCTTGCTATGCTGCATAGCGTTGTCCAAGAGAGGCGAAAGTTCGGTCCCTTAGGCTGGTGCATCCCGTATGAATTCAATTATTCGGATTTGGAGGCATCGCTATTCGCTGTGGAGAAGCATCTTGCAGCAACAATACTTGTGGGGCAACCCTTATCATGGTCCACCATAGGATACATGGTTGGCGAAGTGCAGTATGGAGGGCGTATTACAGACGATCTAGACAGAGAGGTAAGATCCTCAGACGTAGCAGAAACCTTAGTAATTATCGTAACTTGCGCTATCACGGATAAATACCATAGTATGTTATGTGCGCATATGTGTACATGTTATGTGCGCATGTGTGTGCTGTATCCTGCAGATGTTCAACACTTACACCGGAAAATGGCTGACCGACGACCTATTCAGGGCGGGATTTTGCTTTAACAGTAGTACTACAAATGCTCATGAATTCATGTACAAAGTCCCCCAAGCAACAGACATTTCTGTGTATCGCGATTACATCAACTCACTACCCTATGTCGATCAGCCCGGTGTTTTCGGCCTCCATGTAAACGCCGACCTTACCTTCAGACTGCAAGAGTCCGCATCAATGCTCGAAACCATACAGGTACATCAAATATATTGGAGGATCTCTACTGCTTTTTCCTTATTGGCGGTTCTGCAAGGTTTCCAGCCTGCATATGGCTTCTCTCAAAGTGGGTCGTGTGCACTTCATTCCTCAGGATACTCTACCAAAATCTTCTTCAGGCGGCAAAGGAAAATCGCAGGAAGATACTGTACGCGAGAAATGCGTCGAAATGTTAAGCAAAATGCCAGATGACTTCCAAGAGAGAGTGTACAGAGAACAGGTGTCTAAGCTCTCTGGACCACCAGCGTTGAATGCCAAAGGATTTGCTGCTCCGCTAAATATATTCCTCTATCAAGTATGGAAGCACACCTTCCCGTTCGGTACCTCGTGGCAGTGACCTAGTGGTATTCAACAGCGGAGTTAGACGTTGCTCCTGCGCACGAACTAAGCATGTTGCCAGCAATATCCATTATCAAAACGCCACATCCTCATTTCCAAGTAGTTCGCTCTTTAAGTGTGCCTTGCTCCCAGGAAGTTCAGCGCATGCAGCGAATTTTATCTATCGTTCGTACCAACTTATCATCGATCATTAGTGCAATCGATGGTACCGTCATCATGACCCCAGACTTACAGGTGGGGAGAGGAGTTTAATCAGGAGAACCAGTATCCTGTTCTAGCTATTATGGAAACTGTATAAGTAGGAAGGGATATATTCAATGCACTTCTGCTGCTGTCTGCTGGCTTGTTGACAAGTCGGCAATCCAGAAAGTCCAGCACCTCAGTGGTTCACTTACGGCGGTTCCGCAGGATGACGTGATGGCGATTTCTGACTTGCGGGTGCCACGTCGTTGGGTTAAGGATCCAAGCGGTGCAGAAATTTCCTGGCTATCTCCCACTCTTGGGAAGTGGTTTTCGGGAATGAGGCTTAGGGTTGAGCAGCTATGCGCGTGGCTGGAAAAAGGAAGACCCAAGTCATTTTGGCTCGCTGGGTTTTTCAATCCCACGGGGTTCCTTACTGGAATGATGCAGGAGGTACGTTGCTTTCTACCCGGGGCGAGGCTCGTTGCCTAAGGGGCGCCATCGTATATTCGGGTTTTCAAAAGCTATGCCTGCCGCACTCTCTGTATGTATGTTGGCTCGCAGGTCACGAGGCAGCATAAGAGGGACCAGTGGGGACTTGACGACGTCGTTCTGCACTCAGAGATGCGCACTGTGGATGTTGAGAAAATAAAAGACATACCAGATGAAGGAGTCAACATTCACGGTCTATATATAGAGGGATCCCGGTAAGTATCCAAGTTGGAGCAACGCTCTTCAGGCGGCTGCAACGAGGCTGGTGCTTAAGCTTGCGAGACAGGAGTGGCTTCCCTTTTCAACTGCTCCTAACGGAAACCATGTTTGTTTTCACTCTCCTGCTGCTGCCTCAGGTGGAATTGGCACGAGTCCAGGCTGGAAGAATCGTTGCCGAAAGTCATGGTTGATAGAATGCCCGTTGTGCACGCTACCGCATTAACATCTAAGGACAAACGCAATAAAGCCTTAGACTACGGACAATTTGAACCATACGACTGCCCCGTTTACAGGTATCCAAACAGGACGGACAAATACTTGGTATTCCGAGTACAGTTGCGCACAGACCAGCACCCTTCCCACTGGAAGCTACGGGGAACAGCGTTGCTGTGCTCGACTGAATGAACACCAAAACGGGCAGCCATACACGGGATCTTCGGCCTTTCCTTTCGAAAGATCGACGATTACCTTTTACCTTCAACGCCCCCGCTCAATTTTATTTTTGTACATAGCTTCTACTCAAGAGTTGTCAATGTTCCTCAAGAACAAACCGCCGCGCAGGTGCTTCTTGGGCGTCACATACAAATCTATGGCACTGTACCGAGTGAAGGGCAGTTTGCGTACTGCTCACTGAAGGTGTAACAGTTACCAGTCTATCCACCTTATGCTGTTTAGAACTCTCTTCTGGGCTCTATTGGCATTGGGATAAGCGGAAAACGCATCGCATTGCGCCATGCACCTTCAGGCCTCTTCCGCACGAGGTTATGCTAAACCGCTTACGCATGTGCACAGAGGAATTATTCCACTGCTGGCCGTACCTTGCTCTTCAACGAAGGCTGTTAGCTGTAATGAATAATCACTATAATAATCGCCCCTACCGCAAGCCTGCCAGTTGTGCCGTGATAGTTCGTTGATTCCAGCGCAAATTGGCGAGGTCCTCTAAGGGGCTGGGTGAAAAACACTATGATCTCTTATACCCAATATTTGGTGTGTTCTCGTTAGAGCTCTATGCAGTGAACCTTGGGGTAAGGTGGTGAGTTGAAAAAGTTGACCAACAACATATCCCGGGCTTGCGAGGGTACTGCTTCCACGCCTTTGTTCATTTTGCATCCGCCCAGCCCCAACGCATGCCTAAGGCAGCACAATGTGTGAGAAACTCCCCTTCAGAAAGGGCAGTCTAAGGGGATATTGGGGCTTGAAGGATCATATGGATATTGCCCTCGGAAGTTGATCCCAACCACGACTGTAGATGCACCAGTCTCTGCCGGCAGGCCTGCGTCTTGTGCCCCCAATGACAACAGGGAACTTGGATCCTTACTACGCCACACAATTGTCTTTTTCATTTGTGTTCATCACACGATGGGATGAGACAAATCTATAACACTAAAAGTACTGCGTGACCAGTAAGCTGATGAGATGTGGGGAGAGCCCTCAGTCCGTGACATGCTATGTTGAGATCTGTTCAAGATAGCGTAGAGTATTTCTGTTTATTATGAATATTTGCAGTTAGCCTTACGTACTACTAGGTTATATATCTGAAGGAGTACTGTGGGGCGCATCCATAAAACCCCACAGCTGAGTATAGCGACATGGCAGGCATTAACTGTAGTGAATCCTCCCTACAATCACGGCAGCAATGCCGTGCTCGCTGTGAAGGGAGTGAGGGTTGTATGAATAGTGAAAGTGTCTGTGAGTTCTTATTGATATACATTGAACATAAGATAAGCATTCTTTATGGAGTGACCATTGGTATGGTTATAGGTGACGGTGGCTTGTGCCTTGGTGCAAAAGCTATTTGGACCAGGCTACACCGTCTCCTCTCGCAGCGCCAGAGGCCACAGTGCCTGCTCTACTGCGGTTGAGAGAGAACAATTTTCAGAAAAAGAAAATACTGAGAGAACTCCTTCCCTTAACCTTTGTTAGTTTGATATGTTTGTTCAGTATGATAGCTATTGCTTGCCAGCTCGCTATACTCAGCTGTGGGGTTCGAGGGATGCGCCCCACATTAGCCGGTCAGAGATACAACCTAGTAATACTTAAAGCTTGCTGCAAATATTTGTGCAAAAGAGGAATCCTCTAAGTTGTCTTGACCAGATTTCAACAATTGCATGAGGGAACTCAGGGGTCTTCACCACTTCTCATCAGCTTACAGGGCCTGCAGTACCTAGAGTGTCATGGAATCCCATCACCCCATCGTGTGAAGGAACTTGGATCCCTTGTACTCCTCACAACTGTGTTTTCCCTCTGCGTTTGTGTTGTCGTTGGGGGCATAAGACGCAGAGCTGCTGGCAGGGACTAGTGCATCTATTGACGTAAGTGGGATCAGGTTCCGACGGCCAGATGATCCCTAAGGCCCCGAACTCCCTTTACATGACATTTTTGCCGTGATTGTAGTGAGTGTTCACTACACAGTGCCTGGGAGAATACACTCTGAGACATTAGGCTTGCCGAGTTCCTATTTAACCTGTTGAAAGGTGCAACGCTAGCTTTCTACGAATTTACTACTCGGAACTTCGGAATCAGAGACGGGATAATCATCAGATAGAAATAGTCTGCAGTACGGGCCTAGGGTTCTTACCATAGGCACTTGCTAGGGGAACCAAGACATACTCGGGTTGATGTTAGATAAATTAATTGCTTCCGTATATGGAGCTACTCAACCTACTTGGGGACTCCCTCATGGGCACCAGCGCTTCTCGCCGCATCTGTACGGTATTCCGTGATTATATTTCCGTTGAGCACATTTTTGTACGCGCAGATTGCCGCTGAGAGCATACTGTGCCGTGAAAAGGGTGTTAAAGGGCTACCGGCTACTGGTCTGCGCATCTGCTAGTGAGAGTCATGTCCAGTCCCCTTGGGCTAAGAAATCCGCCCGGCCCCACCGAGCGCTTGTTGTTAGTCCTATGACAACAACGGAGATACAGCAAAACTTGTAGGAAGGAGGCTCTGAAAGCCTCGCCCTCTTTCTGTGGATGAGGCTACTCTGAGACACTTCCCTATGTTTAACAACTAGCGGGCGTTGGAGATTTCAGGGTCACGGTCCCAAGGCTACCACGTCACAGGCCCGTTTGATGGGAGGAATTGTCGCCGTTTTCAATGCACGTTCCCGTCTGGCCATCACGATTATTGCCATCTGAACGTCCATCCTCTAGACGCCCAAAATAGCTTGACCACTCATACACATTCCTGCTCGGCCGGCGCCTGATTCGTCATAATTGTGATTCAGTCATAAAGTCAAAGTACATGGATTTTCGAGCGGTAGCGCTTGCAATATTTCCGAACACGAATTTATTCGGTCTTCCCCCAGAAACGGGATTTTGGGGGGCAAGCCTTTAGCTCACCTCCACACAAATCCAATTGAAGCGTTTTCAGTGGAATCGGATGGGTGGGGCAGAGTGATTCGAATATACACGGGTACCGATGACTGGCTGGGGGAACTTTTGGGATTCATGTACGCCCTCTAAACGAGCCCTGTACGGGAAGCTCCCCTACAGCAAGTTGGCTAAGGGGAGTTTGGGGCCTTAGGGAGCATAGGGCCTTACGACAATGTCTGCAGCTCTGCGTCTTGCTCCCGCAGCATCTCCATTGGTGTGGATTCACATCACCCCATAATATGACGAAACGTGGATCCCTACTAGGTCTCATAGCTGTGTATCTTGTCTGCTTTTGTGTTCTCGTTGGAGGTACAAGCTAGTGATGTGTAGGCTGACCGCTCAGCTTCCCGCAGTCTCACATGCAGTGCCCAGATTTGTTCACGTTAATTGCGGAAGTTTGTTTACCTTAATGAACAATATTACAGGCTGGTCTAAAAAAATCAATAAGCATGACATATTAGTACGGTAATCCTCTGAAGGGCTACTGTGGGGCCATGCTTCGAACCCCACCGCTGAGTATAACGGACCGGTAGGCATATGCTAACTGAGACCCTCAGGTAGACCCTCTCCCTCTCACGCTACAAATGCTCAGACATCTCATCTGATTCAACGAAGTAACAACGCTAACAAAGCTCAGGAGACGCCCTGGCATGTTGCAATCCGTTCTGCAGCAAGTCTCATGCCAGCCTCTCCTAGACTCGTATCAAGACTCCTCTCCTTAAAAAATATTTAAGGGAACACATATCGCATGCTTAACCAACACTGACTGCTGCACACAAGCGCGGCAATGTAGCCGTGTTTGTACTGAGTATTCACTACACCCGACATGTGTTGCTGGAGAAGGTAGTCTCCTCAAGCCTGGGGGAGCACGGATTATGTATTCGGCAAATCTTGTTTTTAGCTGTGTTGCATCGTCTGAGTATCTTGCTTTAGGTATTGTTAGTTTTGCGGGGAAGTTTAAATTCTTGCTATTGCTTCGTCTATCCGTTTATTGGGGAGCGACGTTCGCATAAAGCATCCACAATGTTTCCCACAAGGTTACTTATTGTTCAACATCTCAATTGTATCGAATTCACTTTTCCAAACAGATTCCCGCGCTGGTCTACACAAGCGTTACTAAGTGCCCCTTTACCTCCAGGCTTAGTTAGCCTGCCAGCCGGTCTTCCCAACACAAGTATGAGAAGCATCTATCAAAATGACCATTAGGGGGGCAGCGAGAGGCGCAAGGCCTTCAGTCACCGGACCGACCCTTACCGGCGGTTGGCCAAAGCAGTAGCTGATAGTGTAAAGAGGACCACCTTCGCCCGAAGCTCCCTCACATTATGGGGTTGAAGATGCTTGTAACCCTGTAAAGAACTGCAGGTGCGAGTGGCAATGACGCGCCAATCCGAAATCCCTTTGCCCTGGGCACGAACCGAATTTCCTCGCGCCCGCCTAGTTGTCAGTTCCCCTAGCAACTCACTGTCGGCAGCCCGCGTGCCTCGCCGCAGCAGACAATCTCGCTCTGCAGACCATTCTCTGTCTTAGCAGCACGGTAAGAGTACCCAACGCACAAAAAAATCGAGCCGCGCTGTTCAGAGGATAACGGAGGAAGACCAAATCCCTGGGAACTGTTCGGTAGAAAACAGTTATATCCTTGTCCTGGCAACGTTGCTACCTCAGGCATACGTTACCGATTGTGGTAATGCCTCCAGGCCGTTACCCTCGTGGTGCGTTGCTAACTGTGCATTTGTCACGTTCATCACGTGCACCATGAACCGGCGTAAGCGCGAGCAAGGACGCACCGGAAGAGATGTGTGAAGAGGGGTAGCGGGCTTTCCTCCCACCCCTGCTGCAAGCAACTGGAGCCAAGCGTCTTTCCGTGAACGCAGTAACATTCAGAAAATTTCCTGTCTCGTTTCTGAGACCCGCGTGGTGAAAACGTGCTCCAGGACCTTGCGGGGTGGCAGAAGCAACAACGGAAGCGAACAGCATAAGCTCATATCAACGGGACTTCCACCGTGAGCTTGGAGGTGTCGAGCCTCTTGCAAC